ATGCCAGGCCCGCTGGGTGGGCAGGCACCCTCCTGGTGCCCCTGGCGCTAGCAGCTCCTGGTCTCTGGGGTGGCGGAAGCTGGACACACCCCTGGGAGAGTCGAGGTCCCGGCAGGGCATGGTGGCCGGGTCAGCACGCTCCACATGGAGCAGGCGGAACCCCAGGCTTAAAGGGTCTGATCTTCAGGTTTGCTCAGAGCTTCTGGCAGATTCCGTGTGTTTTTCCAGCTCAGGTTTCCTCTCACTGGACCCCGGTGCTGCCCAAAGCTCTGAGCCAGGGCAACAGCTGTGTCAGAGGCTGGCAGGAGCCTGGCAGTGCCTCGGCCCATGGCAGTGGGTTTGCCTGGCCTGTGGGGTCAGGTCCGGCGTGGCCAGGCCCTGGCTGGGCTTCTCCCTGCTGGGGGCCACTGTGTCCTCTCTCCCAAGTGCTCCCTGGCCGCGTCCCTCCGCATCTCCCGATAGAGCCCCAGCTAAGTGTACTGAGCTATGCGTGGGGCCTCCCATCTACTCTGCCCAAGGCCCTGTTGTCTGAGCGTTGAGGAAACCACCGCCTGTCAGACGTCCCACAGCCTGAGGCCCAGGACAGCCGTCCCCGCTGATTTCAGGAGGGGCCACCAAGCACACGTGTAGAGGACCCACCCAGGGGCTCCCAAGGGGAGGACAGCAGCCTATGGGCAAAGGGACCTGGGGCTTTGCCGGCCTGTGCAGAACCCGGCTGAGGACTGGAGCCCTGTGCAGACAAGGTCCGTCGGCTGCACACCCTGCCAGGTGAACCGCAGGGTGAGGGGTGGGGGTGGGGGGGAGCTGAGGAAGCTGGGCCTCTATCCGAAGCATCCAAACCCACGGCGCTCCAGCGGGACCCTGACGCTCGCCTGTCCCAGTGGTTGGTGGCCTGGGTGTCACTTACGCCTCTGCCAGCCCTAATGCTGCCGGGACCAGGTGGTGAGGGCCTCATCCCTGGGCCCACCCTCTTCCCATGGCCAGGCTCGCTGTCAACACACAAACAGAACCTGCACCCGAAGCTGTCACCTCCCTCCCCGGAGAGGGTCTCAGCCCTGCTTTTAGGGTAGCAGTGGTCAGTGGAAGGGTCTGGGCTTAGCCCTGCCTTCCCTGCTGTGTCCTGCAGAGCCTGGGGCTGGGGTTGGGAAGGAGCCCAGGTAAGGATGGGCCGTCCCCACTTGACTTGTGCCCATAAGGAGCAGTCTCAGCTGCCAGCCTCGAGAGGGAGGGACCCTCTGGGCTCTCTAGGAGGCCCTCTGGGCTGACTGGGGGAAGAGTGGGGTATCCCTCTGCACCCCACAACCCCAAGTCCCGTAAGATGCTTCAGGGAAGAGGGGGTTCCCTGCTTGGGGGAGTTCAGGAGCCTCTGTGTTCTAAACCGGGGAATGCCAGACAGCCATCTGGCTGGGTAGGGGGTCCAATGCAAAGGCTTTCGGCGGAGTTGCCCCAGGCTACCATGCTAAAGTCCTGACCGCCAGTATCTCAGCGTGCGGCTGTGTTCGGAGACAAGGTCTTTAAAGAAGTCATTAAGGTGAGGCCGTGAGGGTGGGGCCTAATCCCACAAAACTGGTGTCCTTATAAGAAGAGGAGATCAGGACACAGACACACACAGAGGGACGGCCAGGAGAGCACACAGGGAGAAGATGGTGTCTACCAGCCAAGGAGAGGGGCCTCAGGAGGAACCAGGCCTGCCCACATCTTGAGCTCAGACTTCCAGCCTCCAGGACTGTGAGAAAATAAACGAGGTATGGGCCCAGCAAACTCACCCCTGAAAGACAGGGCCGGGTGTCCCCCGAGGGCCTGGGAACACAGCCCCACCCCTGTGGCTGGCCACTCCCTGTGCATGCTCCCGGGTCAAGGATAAACCAGCCGCCCAAACAGGTGCGTTCTAGGGTGGGGGAGAAACAGCACAGAGCCCTGTGTGGAAAGAAGGTGCGCAGCCCGGACAGGGGCAAAGCCAGAAGAGGGCGGGGGCACCTCAGGGGTGACGGGGCCATACTCAGGAGGGGCCCTCCTAAGCGAGAGGCCATCTGGGGCGAGCTCCAAGGGGGGATTCAGGCCCAGGGTAAGGGGTGTGCTGAGCTGGTGTGAACACCATGAAGAGGGCGGGGCGCCGGGCGTGTGCCCGGGGTGAGGGGGACACAGAGGAGCAGCCAGGTTCTTGGAGAGGAGAGGGGGCAACCATGAAGGTCTGGATCTGCAGGGGGAGGGAGATCCTAGCAAGGCTGTCCGGGGTCGGGGGGCTCGGGACTATCTCCTGAGCCAAAGAACACCACGACGAGGGGCTTGGGGTGGGGCCGGGGCTCTGCGTGCCACAGCTGGACTCCGACAGGCCTGTGGCTGCCACAGACACTGGGGTGCGGGGCACAGTGGCAGGAGAACTGGACCACACTGGACCTCAGGCTGTGTGGGGGCCTCAGGATTTTGGGCCAGCAGAGGAGTAGGATGGGCCGGGGGGAGCGGCCCCGGAGAGGATGTGGGGAGGGGACTGCATTGGTGCCTTAAGTCAGACATGAGGCTGGGAGGGGCAAGGCCGCCTAGGTCCAGGGGTGGTGGGGACACAGGGGGCCCAGGGCCTCCTGACTCAGTGGGGTCTCACTGAGTGGCCCTGTCCCCCTACTGGGCACTTTTACTCAAAAACTCTGCAGTGGTGGTCTCCTGACCCCACCACTGAGGCCATGCTGTCCTATCAGCTCCCAGTCCCTCCCCAGCCTTACACAGCGGAGTGAGAACGAAGGAGGAGAGCCTGGAGCTCAGGGCCAGGGGAGCTCGACTGGGCGGGAGGAGGGACAGACGCCGGCCTGCAGCACCCATGAGTGGGCACAGGGTGTTAGGGGAGCTCTGGGCAAAGGCACTAGAAGCAAGGGCCCTCCTCCCCCAACGCCTCCTGTGACTCAGTCCCTGGGGGGCAGTGGAGACTGTTTCACTATCTTCTCAGCAATGGGACAGGCAGAGGCTGAGAGTGCTGAGGGAGCCCAGACCCTGGCTGGCCCATGAAGGCAGCTCAGGCCTGCAGGATGAGGCAGCTGCGGGCACTGTGACCCCCAGCTCCCTGGGGCAAGACCGCACCTGCCTCTCGGCTCTGGCCTCACCTGCGTTTTCCGTGAGATCCACACTCCAGAAGAACAAACCCACCAAGTCCTCCTCTGCCCAGAAGCCTGACCTACTCATCTCAGCACAAGCCCTGCGGTGTGAACGCTCCAGGCCCAGGGGCTGCTCAGTTCAGCTGGGCAGCAGCTCCATTACCTCTGCTCTGCAAAAGGAGGCTATAAGGACTCTGCACCTCAGGGTCTGCCGGGGGATAAGCGAGGCCACGCACGTGGAACCATCAGCACAGTGCATAGCCCAAAGGGCTGGGATGAACATGCTGGAGGGCTTCCTGGAGGAGGTGGGCCTGGGCTGCAGCTCCCATGCTGTACTGCACTGCGGGCTCAGACGCAGCCTAGGCAGAACCTGCTATCTCTGTGGGCCCTGCAGGAACAGGGCTGGGGCAAGGAGCCTGCCCCTCCAGGGCTGGCAGTAGCAAGGTTTCCAGGATCACTGCCCTCCCCCTTCCCCCCACCCCAGCATCCAGGAAGAGAAGGGGGAGGAGACTGTGGTCCCCAGGGCCTTGATCAGTGCTCGCCTCTTGGGCGGAGGCTGCCCATTAGCTGCAAGAGGTTATAGCCAGGCTCTTGACCTTAGCCTCAACAGCCTCTTCCACAAATGGGACTAAGCTGGGCAGTGCCCCCCCAGGGCTGCTGTGAAGAGCTAGAAATGGGGGTGCCGGGAGGGGCCCAACAGCCCACGGCCAGGTGGGAGGGGCAAGGGAGAGGCTCCTGGGCACCCTTGGCCCTGCCATCTGCCAGGCCTGGCTCTGCCAGCCCTGCCCCCCAGCCCTGATGGAGCTTCAGCCCTCGCTGCTCCCGCTACGTGGAAGGCCCCTGCCCATCTCCCCATGCTTGTCCCAGAAGGACCAGCACCCCAGGAGGCCCTGGTTCTTCTGTCCCAGCCTGGCCTGCAACTCTCTCTCCAAGGAACAGGTTCCGTGCCCACGACATGTGCCCACACCAGGCCAGGTCTGAATCATCCTCATTTCCCCCGCAGCATCTAGAATGGCTCCTGGCACGGGAAAGGTGCTGGCTAGGAATTTGCTGCTGCAGATGAGGCCTCGGTGTCCTCATCCGTGAAATGGGGGTGCTGCGTCCCACCCTGAGCTTGCAGAAGGGCTGAGGAGGGGTAGGCGCTGCTCCACCTGCCCAACCATCCCCAGAGGACAGCCTCCTGCACCCCACCTGCCACAGGCACCAGACACCAGACCAGGCATACCCCACAGCGGGGTTCCTCGGGCAGCCTGAGCCCTGTGTCCCAGCCCCGATCTGCTGTGCAGGCTTCAGCCTCACTCACCTCTGGGGTGGGGACACAGATGCCGGCCCTGTCTCCCCCAAAGTGGGGCTGGCACCAACAAGATCGCGGCTCCTGTGGGACGGGGCTCGGGCAGGGGTCCCCAGTGCCTGGCACAGAGCCGGGTCCACTTCCTCCCTCCCCTGCAGTCTCACCTGCAGCCCCGCCGTGCTCAGCCGCTAAGTAGAGGGAGTGGGGGTCCCGCAGGCTCCCAAAGGCTGGAGACACAGCAGGAAGCAGGGCGCTGTGGTGGGCTTACGAGGGGAGACCCTGGCCTCCCCCCTTCCCCGGGCTGCAGGCAACGCAGGTGCAGCCCAGCCAGCGCAGCTCAAGCAGGATGCAAGCGCGATTTGCCAAGCGGGGTCCCAGGCCCGCGCGCCCCTACCTCTGGCCCACGTCGCTGCCCACGGAGCCCCCGCCGCGGGCCGGCAGCAGCGGACTGAGCCCGTGCGGCTCCTCGGGGGCCGCGGCGCCGGCTGGGGCGCCCCCCGGGCCCGCCTTGCCCTCGGACGGCGAGCGCGGCAGCTTGGCCCGCGCCATCCTGCGGGAGCGCTCGGCGCGGCGGGCGGCTGGCGGCGGGCGGCGGGGGCGGCGCCGGGCGGAACCATCTCAGCTCGCGCCGCGCCCTCCCCGCCGCCGCGCAGTGGAACGGCCGGGAGCCGGGGCTGGGGGGCTGGGGAGGACGGCGAGGACCGCCAGGCTCAAACCACCGCCAGGACGCCCCATGGAGAAGGTTCAAGCACCCGGCGGTCCTGCGGCTGCTTTGGCAGAAGCCAAGCAATGGTAACAATGACAGTCGCGCACGGGGGGGCGGGGAGGAGCCACGAGGGCGCCCACCCCCGGCGGCAGGTGCTGGAGAGGAGCCGGCATCCCGCTTGGCAGGGTCCAAGCCACGGCCCTCCAGCCGGCCTGCGGACCAGGCCTGGCGCTCAGGATGGCCTGCCCAAGCTGTGCCCATCCCTGGCTCCCAGCCCTGGTGTGGGGTGAGTGTAGTACCCCGGCCAGGGGGGTGACAGCTGAGTTTGCCTGTCCACACCAGGGTCCTCACCCCCCACTTCCTACCTCCAAAGCTGTCAGGGAACAGCCCACGGGGGCGCTCCGGGATGGTGCCTGTATGCCAGGCTGGGCATGGGGCACAGATCCCACCTGTGCATTTGCAGCCCTGGTCTGCCCCAGACGCCTGGCTGGACCTGCACATCTCACATGATGTGGCTTTTGTAACCATTCCCTTCCGTGTCACAGACACGGCTCCAGGTGACTCGCCCAGGTGACAGGCAGGTAATAGCCGGGAGGTGTTGGCACCGGGAGGCCCGGCTGCTCCTCCGAAGCCAGCTCAGTGGAGGCAGGAGGCTGTCAGATGCACACTGGTCCTCAGCAGTGCCGGGTGGCAGGGCCCTCAGGACCCGCCCACACTCTGACCCCAGACCTGGAGTGCTTGCATGCCAGGGGTCTGCCTCTGTTTCTTCCCTGAACCGTGCCCCAACCAACAGTCAGGGCCGAGCGAGTACAGAGGCCTGTGGGAGGAAGGTGGGCCTAGGACCCCCAGACAGCACCAACTCCAGCTGAGGGAGTGGGCCGGCCTGCCCCACACTCACACCAGAAGCCCTCCCGGAGCCAGCTGCCCGTTCCCCCACCCTGAATCCCCCCACCCTTGGCAGGACCGTTTCTGACCTCACTAGGCCTCCATGCACCCATGCCACAGGGGACTGGGTGGCCGACGCAGATGGGGTGGGGTAAAAGTCCAGCCGCAGGTCCGTGACAGGCAGCGTGGGCTTCCATTTCTTTAGCACCCATGCTGAGGGAGGGCTGGGCTGCTTGAGGGAGGCCGAGGCACAGGGCCCTGCTCCCTCTGGGGGTCCAAACCCTGAGCCGCCATCGTGCTCAGAAAATGACCAAGTCACTGGCACTCTGGATACCTGCCTGAGTGCCCTCCCCGATGTGGCTGAGTAAGCAAAAATCCTTTGAAAAGCCACTGTGTGTGGTCTGGGCACACACTCCTGTGCACTGGCTGCCTGTCGTGGCTCAGGTCTGCCCCAGGGGAAAGCGCTGTTTGTACCTGCAAAGCATGAGGACCCTCTGCCAGCCCCTGGTGTTGGGCAGCAGCAGCAGATGGAAGCCTCCTTCACCCCTCCTGTGGAGTGCCCCAGAGCGGCTGTGAAGAATGAGGCTGGGCGCTTCTCCTGGGCACGTTGCTGAGTAAGACCCATGCTGTGCTGTGTGTAAACACAGCCCCCGCACCACCCCTGGGCGCCGCCTGCAGGACCCTTCACGGCGCCATGACCGCACAAAGGGCCGGATGGACATCAGGGCTGCCCATACGTGGTCACCCTGGAGCGGGGAGGAAGCTGGGAGGGAGCGTGTCTGGGCTGTGGATGCTGTGGTTTCACACAGAAATGGTTCGCTTACATTCCCTGGGCATGAACCCACGGCCTACCACAGTGCCGGGGGAAGCCTTACACGGTGGCAAATGCGCGCTCCCACCCTGGGCGGCTGCTCCATGATGCAGTGCTGTGCGTTTGCAGCCCTGGTCTGCCCCAGATGCCTGGCTGGGCCTGCCCATCTCACATGATGTGGCTTTTGTAATCATTCCCTTCTATGTCACAGACGAGGCTCCAGGTGACTCGCCCAGGTGACAGGCAGGTAACAGCTGGGAGGTGTTGGCACCGGGAGGCCCGGCTGCTCCGAAGCCAGCTCAGTGGGGGCAGGAGGTTCCTGCTTTTCGAGAGTGCAGTGGATCTTCACTTACTCGTGGCCTTTGAAGTACAGGATCAGAGTTAGGTGACAAGAGAATGTCTGTGTGGTGGTGTCCGTGGAGTGCCCACAGCCGGCTGCAGCAGGTGCAGCCTGGGGTGGGGGAGGGGAGGAGGACCTTTGCAACTTGCTGCGGCACCACGTCTGAAGTTTGATTTACGTTGAAATGACTGTCTACACTTGTCACAGGAAGTCCAGTGAGATGATTCCCACGTGGGGAGGACAATCCCTTCGGCATCGAGCAGCGGTCCCAGAAGCCCCCTTTCCTGGCCTCAGGGCACCAGGACGGGTGCAGGGCACACGGCCAGAGCCAGGTGAGGTGGGGAGGGTGGGCTGGGGCCCCAGGCTCAGGGTCCACAGAGCCATGTGAGCCTTGAGGTGTCCCCAGCACTTTCCGCTCCCATGGAGCCTGGACAGACTCGACCCCATGGCTACACAGGGGCAGACATCCCGGAAATTCAGGAATAAATAACTGCCCTTTTAGGGAGCATGCAGACGCTGTGGTTCAAACGTGTGTCCAAGCAGCCCTGCGGGGAGGGCGGGGCCTCGCTTCGCCTACTGCAAGCTGAGTGGGACTGCGGGCTGGACAGAGGACAGGGGACCAGGTGGACCCAAAGTGTGTTTTGAAGGTGGCACTGGCTAGACTTCCTGAAGGACTGGGGGGAGGGACAGCACCCAGGCTGGCGGGGAGAGGGGGGAACGGGCAGGTGGCGACACCCCAAGGTGGGGAAGACAAAAGCAGCAGGTTGGGGGTGGATTTTGACACCTATTCTGGACATTCTCAAAGTGCCTGCCAGGTGACATCTCGTGGGTGTGCATCCACGCCTGGTGCTATGGGGGGCTGCCAGTCTGAGACCCATCTGGGTCTCTGGCTCAGCAGTGGGATCTGAAGCCCCAAACCAGCTGGGGTCACCTCGGTGGAGTGGTGCAGCCTGAAACCGGCCAAGTGGGACAGGACTGCAGGACTGGGCAGTGTGACATCTACAGGTGTGAAGACAGGTGTGGGGGGAGATGTAGGGGCAGGTGCAAAGGCAGGTGTGGGGGCAGGTGTGGGGGAAGGTGTGAGGGCAGGTGTGAGGGCAGGTGCAGGGGAAGGTGTGGGGGCAGGTGTGAGGGCAGGTGTCGGGGAGGTGTGGGGGCAGGTGCGGGGCAGGTGTGGGGGCAGGTGTGGGGGAAGGTGTGGGGGCAGGTGCAGGGGAGGTGTGGGGGCAGGTGCGAGGGCAGGTGTGGGGGGCAGGTGTGAGGGCAATTGTGGGGGCAGGTGCAGGGGCAGGTATGGGGTGCAGTTGTGGGGGCAGGTGTGGGGGCAGGTGTGAGGGCTGCACCAGGAGCCTTCCCAACCCAGGACAATGAGCAAGCATAGTAAGAACTGGAGATGAATGACTTAGAGCTGACAAGGAGAGGGCAAGCCAGCGTCACAGACCTCCTGGAGAGTGTCCAGGGGAGTCACAGAGGAGGTACAGGTGGTGCTGCTCCCCACACTGCTCCCATCTTCTGAGTCCAAACTGGGAGTGCCAGGAATCCTCACCCTTAGCCCCCATCAGGAGGCAACCAAGGGGTGTATCCTAACTTTGGTCACTGTCTAACTGGGGAGACACCAGGCTTGACCCTTGGACTGAGGTGAGACTTCTTGATTGCCCCTCAGCAGGAGAAGGGCATGGAGCCCCAGGAAGGAGGGAAGGAAGAAGGAAAGGAAGGAAAGGAGAAAAAAGAAAAGAGAAAAGAGAGAGAGAGAATGAGAGAGAGAGAATGGACTTCAGCAGGCAAAGAACCCGGCCAAAAATAAAACCCAGAGAAGAAGGAAGTTCTCCAGGAGGAATTTGGGCACTGGGTCAACTTGATAGGGACAAGGTGCAATGGAAGCTGCACTCGAAGATGAGATGAGCCCATTCATCTCAGCAGCCAGTGGCAGAGAGGTAGACCGCAGGACTCCAGAAGCAAGTGCAGAGCCCACACGCCATACAGTTACGACTCAATGAACCCAAGCCAGGAGGAACAGGAAAGGCATGGCTGAAATCGGATTACCAACACAGACAGCCGGCTCTGACCAGCACAGCGAAGGCACAACAAGATCCAGGCACCGGAGGAAGCGTCGAGGATCCTTTCACTGGAGAATTGCTTGTGCCCCTGGGTAGAAGCCTCAACCAGTTTTTGGTATTTAAAATATATTTGGGCCGGGTGTGGTGGCTCATGCCTGTAATCTCAGCACTTTGGGAGGCTGAGGCGGGCAGATCACCTGAGGTCAGGAGTTCAACACCAGCGTGACCAACATGGTGAAACCTCGTCTCTACTAAAAATACAAAAATTAGCTGGGTGTGGTGGTGGGCACCTGTAATCCCAGCTACTGGGGAGGCTGAGGCAGGATACTCACTTGAACCCGGGAGGTGGAGGTTGCAGTGAGCTGAAATATCACGCCACTGCACTCCAGCCTGCGTGACAGAGTGAGACACTCTCTCTGTCTGTCTCTGTCTCTCTCTGTCTTTCTCTCCTCTCTCTCTATATATATATATGTATATTTGAAAAGTATTTAGATATGTGATGACAAAGCAAAGAAAGAACTGTGCACAGAGTCCCAGGAAAACAAGACGCAGGATGCCTTCCACCTAGATATGGATCCTACTCTACCTCCTGAGCTGAGAGTAAAGAAGATTCTGCAAGTGCCCAAGACAGAACCAGTGAGTCACCACGAAGGGGGTGAAGTGAGCTGGCTGCAGATCTTCTGCAATGGACTAAGCACCAGAGGATGATGGTCCCATGTTGATCAAGTTCTAACGGGGAAAAATGAGGTCTAGGACTATTATACCCAGCCAAAATGTCATTCGAGTCTGGAGACACAGGGGCGATATCCTCCAATGCAAAGGAATGTGACAGAACGCGGCACAAATGCAGACGCCCTTGTTGGGAGAAAAACCACCACAGCCACCTCAAACATGAAATGAAGCTGCTAAAAGAAATACCAAAGAGAATTCCAGCATGAAGAGGCCGTATGAAAGGGTGGGTGGGCAGCGGGAAACCCACTGAAGTGGCTACGGAGCATTAGAGAATTACGCAAAATATGGTTATAGAACAGGTAAGCATTTAAACCTTGGTGGAGTAAAAACGATGATAAAATTAGTAACATTGTGGGTATGCAGGACACTGTAATCCGAAATGAAGACACGCCAGGCGACTGAGATTCTAATGCAAGCTGCACTGAAAGACCCATCCCCAGAGAATGACTGACTTCAGGGCAGAGAAGGTTCGAGAGTGTGGAAAATCTAGTTTTGCTAGAGAACAAGGAAGTTGCAAAGAGGCATGGGGTCATGTCCAAGGGTACAGAAGCCAGTGGGAAGGGCTCCCATTGGTCAAAGTAGAGACAGTGGGATCTCAGAGGGACAATGATTTAGACATGGTGTATGGGCTTCCTGCTGCTATGGTTATAAATGACCACAAATTCAATTGCTAAACCACACTTTTTTTTTTTTTTTTTTTAACCTTGAGACAGGATCTCACTTTGTTGCCCAGGCTGGAGTGCAGTGGCATGAACATAGCTCACTGCAGCCTGGACCTCCTGGGCTCAAGTGATCCTCCTGCCTCAGCCTCCCAAGCAGCTGGAACTACAGGCATACACCACCATGCTTGACTAATTTTTGTATATTTTTGTAGAGACGGGGTTTTGCCATGTTGCCCAGGCTGGTCTGGAACTCCTGAGCTCCAGGGATCTGCCTGCCTCAGCCTCGCAAAGTGCTAAGATTTTAGGTATGAGCCACTGCACCCGGACAACACAAATGTTTTAAGCACACAGTCCTGGAGGTCAGAAATCCCAAGCCCAAAGTGCCGGCAGGGCTGGCTCCTTCTGGAGCCCCAAGAAGGAGTCCATTTCCTTGCCTTTTTCAGCTTCCAGCGACACCATCCCTGGCTGGGTCCCTCCTCCCATCGTTCCGTCCTTGCTTGCGCCGCTCATCTCCTTCTCCGGCGACTCTGAGCCTCTGCCTCCCTCCCCTAGGAATCTGTGATGATCTTGGCTCACCCAGATCATGCACGGTAATTACCCACCTTCAAGGCCCTCCACTTCATCACATCTGCTAATCCCCCTCGCCGCGTGTGGTCTCCCTCGCCGCACGTGGTAACATAGTCAGGTTTCTGGCATCAGGACGTGGACACCTTCAGGGGAGCATTATTTGGCCCAGCACACATGGCAGGTCCACGGAACTCCAGGGCTCCGCACCTGATGCTCTGAATGGGGAGTCAGGGAACCCCTCTCCTTGTTGTCACCACTAGAGGTTGCAATTCAACACTGCCTTACTGTGAAAATCTGTCATTAAAGAGAAAGGATCGAGGGTGTTTCCGGCAGGAATTATATTTGGGGGTGCACAGCTCCCATGGATGAAGGACCAGCACAGTGCAGAGGAGAATGTGGGTAATGCTGATGGAGGGAGGAAGACAAAAAGGCAGCCAGTACCTCCCAGGCCCCAGCAGAAGGATGGACTTGGGCACAGGCCTTCAGAGGGGGCCAAGAGCCACAGAGCAGGCACTGGGTGCTCGCAAAGCCACAGGCCACCTTGAGGTGACTGGGGGAAGTTCCTGCCCAGTGGTGGGGTTGGGCTGGCCCCAGCACGTCCAGCGGGCCATCTTTGACACGGGTGACCAGGACCCGAGGCCACACGCAGACACCAAGGGCACCTGCAACATTTTCCATCCTCGATCAAGTAAGCTCTTCCAGCAGGCCTGCAGACCCAACTTCCACTTTGCAAAAAATACTGGAGGCAGAACAAGCTGAACCACCCACAGAGAGGCCACTGGACACATGCAGATGGTGGAACCTTCTGCAGGACGCGAGGCCTGGTGTATGTGCTACCTCTGTTGCGTAACGAACCACCACCAGCCTGGAAGCTTACAGCAGCACCCACTTACCACTTCTCAGTTCTGTAGGGTAGACGTCCGCGCACAGCTGAGCTTGGTTTTCTGCTGAGGGTCCCGTGAGGCTGAGATCCAGGCATCCGCAGGGCTGGGCCCACGTCTGGAGCTCAGCGGGAATCTGTTCCCAGGCTCATTCCTGCCATCTGCGGAATCCCCTCCTGCACTTGTGGGACAGAGGACCCCCTTTCTTGCTGGCCGCCAGCAGAAGCTTGTTCTCAGTTCCCGAGGGCTGCCTCCTTCCTTGGCGTATGCCCTCATCTCTAAAGCAAGCAAGGATGTGTTCAGTTCCCCGCTGCCTCCAGTCACTTCACTCTTCCACTACCAGCCAGAGGAAATGCTGCTTTCAGAGGGCACGTGTGAGTAGACGCAGCCTACTCGGAAAATCGCCCTTTGATTAATTCAAATTCGACTGATCAGCAAACTTAATTGTATCTCCTGTGTATACCTGTCTCCCCATTCCTCCTTTGTGTAAGGAGGGGTCTTAGTCCTGTTGAATTAGGACCCGACGGAATGACCTCATTTCACCTTAATTGCCTCTAAAGAACCAATTTCCAAATACAGTCATATTCTAAGGTACCACGGGTTGCGGCTTTGATATATAAATCTTGGGGGACACAATTCAATCCCGAACACCACGTCACGTGACGATCCTGGTGTGATGTCTCAGATTCACAATCCCGGGGGTAGGGTGGGAAATCCTGGGGGGCCCGCCTGGTGGGAGCTGCTCCAGATTAAAAAGGGGTTTGTGAATCATCATAACCAGACCGGACACAACATTCCTGGATTGAACACACCAGCTGGTGAGGACATGCCAGGGCTGCTGGGGAGACGTCTCTCCAAGATGGACTTGGACCGCCCCTCTCCCAGGACCCCTGCCCAGCCCTCTCCCCTTCCCAGCCCGTGGCTGCGGCCCTCACTCTCCGGCCCCCGGCACTCTGCCCCTCTGTGGGCGTGGTCTTGGCCTCCCTGCGTTGTGGGGAGACGCCTCCCCCTTTCTTTCCCCTCCGGCACAGGGCCTGAGTCTTTGGAGACCTAATTGGGGCCTTGTGAAATCTGGGCTTCCCTGGCAGGTCATGGGTGGCTGCTACATCCTCAGTGAGGGCTGTGGGGGTCTCACTTCCCAAGGAGGGGCCTGGGGGTGGCTTGGCCGCTGGCTGTTTTCTACCCCACATAGACACCAGGTGAGTCTGCCCCGACGTTCTCCCTCCAAACAACGATGGGATTTCCTGGTGTCAGGATGTCCTGGGGCTGCCATAACCAAGTACCACAGCGGGGGGCTTGAAGCAACAGTTCTGGAGGCCAGAGATGGACATCAGTGTCCCTGGGCTGAAGTCCAGTGTCACAAGGCTCCGCTTCCTTGGGGAGGCTCTAGGGAAGGTCCTTTGTGCCTCCTCCTCCTGGGAACTCCAGGCACCGGCTGGCAGTGGCCACATCACTCCGGTGTCTGCCCCCACCTTCACACGGCCATCTCCTTCTGCCTGCGTTCATCCTTTCCTTTTTTGAGTTTTCTTAAGGCAAGCTTGTTTTTGTAGTAAAATACGCCGCATAACACAAACATTACCATTTTAATCCTCTTTGCTGCCCTCCTTTAAGGACCTCGTGACTGCGTTTCAGGCCAGGATGGCCTCCGTACTGCAACATCTTTCCCTCGCTGGCCTCTTTAGAGCCCGCGCAGCAGGTCCCAAGTCCCCACAGCTGTGGCTCCTGGGTGGTGGCTGGGAGGCTGCTGCCCACCAACCCCTCTTCCTCCCCAGACCCCTATCGCCCAGGCGGTCCCTCCTGCCAGACCTGGGCTC